AAAAAAAAAAAAAAAAAGAAAGAAAGAAAGAATGATGTAAGCGATTTCTCTCTAGGGTGACCAGAGAGGTGGAAATAAGAAATTCGTACAGGTTTTCAGGTGGAGATATTGGCTTCACTTTGAACAAATTAGATGTGGGCCTGGGAGTCCAGTGTGCACTTTTTGGAAGGAAGTTGGTCTAACAGACCAGGAGCTCACGAAAGTAGTCAGGGCAAAAGATGGGAGCGCCTGGAAGTCATCATCACAAAGATGCAGTTCAGAAGAGAGGGTGTTAGTCGAGAGAGTTAGCCTCTGAAATGCCAGAAATTGTTCAAATTATGATCCTCCAAAGGAATGTGTCATACTCAAGCACAGCGAAGTTCCCCTAGTCTCCATACCCTCAAACCACAGTGGCAAGTGCCTCTACACTACCCGGAGGATAAAATGAGGAAGACTCTAGAAATTGGACTCCCCTGGCACGTCTGGGTCATAAACAAACCAACCATAAGTTTCTGAGGATTCTGGCTGGAAGCCGATGTTGGACCATTGATGAGAAATAGCACCAGCCCAGGGGCTTCCCTGGTGGCGCAGTGGTTGAGAGTCCGCCTGCCGATACAGGGCACACGGGTTCGTGCCCCGGTCCGGGAAGATCCCACATGCCGCGGAGCGGCTGGGCCCGTGAGCCATGGCCGCTGAGCCTGCGCGTTCGGAGGCTGTGCTCCGCAACGGGAGAGGCCACAGCAGTGAGAGGCCCGCGTACCGCAAAAACAAAACAAAACAAAACAGAAGTAGCACCAGCCTCCTCTGGACCAGACAGCGTTTGAAGTCCTCCCGCCTACCCTTGGATAACCATGGAGCCCAGCAGCCGTCTGGTCTTCTAATTTTCCTGCCAAACTGGCCACACACTCACTCTCTGTCGTCACAAGTTCCTGCCTGCACCTCCACGGGCACCTAGTAAGATGCCATGGTCCTTGCTGGGGGCACACACAGGAGCGCAGGGGGCAGGCGGCCATGGGAGACACCAGCCCAGGGCCGGTTGTACCAGTGATTCTCAGCTAAATGCTCAGGTTGAGCTGAGGTTCAGAACCTGATTTGAATATGAACCTATCAGAAAGTAGATTACTTATTGTTGTATCCTTTTCCTTTAAAAAAATGAATTGACATCGAAGGGTATCTCTGCTATTAAGTAGCTTGTATAGCTGTATTATAGTATGACCTGAGTTTTTTTTTTTAAGGATGTATAAATCTGTGTGTGTGTGTGTGTGTGTGTGTGTGTGTGTATAGAATATACCTGAAAGAATATACACCCAACACTGGAAGCTAGAATGAGGAAGAGGGGATGCAGCACTTTTACGTTTTACCCTTCCGTATAGTTTGCTTTTTTCAAAACAATTAATTTTCAAATAAAAGTTTTTTCAAAAAGCATTGAACATTTAAATCAATCATAGGAGGACAGCCCAATGTTGAATAGACTTCCAAGGCCTGTGTGTGAATATGCATCACTGAACATCGTGGTTTCACGGCGATGCTCTTAGCCAAGTCAGTACAAGTTTCAGACTGAAGGAGAGGCGGCCTCCTGTCCCTAGAACCCCTCCCTGTCAGTCTCCCTTCATCTCGCCCAGGTCAGGTAAGAACTTGCCGGGAGAATGTTTGTAGGAGAAGGGAGTTACCATGATTGTAAATGTGGGGGTCACTGGCTGCAAGGACTCTCGTGAAGTAAGACCAGGCACTGGATCACTTAGTGCAAATTCATGGGGAATTTGACACTCTTTGCCCAGCCTAGCCCAGGTTTATCATCCCCAGTCTAAGCTAACATGAAATTCATAATCAGGTCAATGATCAAGGCTAATCAAAGCTGGCTTGTCCCTGGCTTGAAGGCAGGTGGACGCATGTTCTGGGCTGACTTTTTTCCCTTGGCAAGAGCCAGATTCCTGACTGCTTGAGGTATTTTCCCCGCCAGCCTGGGGAAAGGCCATTTGGAGCATAAATCCTGAGAGCCTCCTCAGAAAAATCAGAAGCAACCATGAGGAATCAGGACTAACTAGCTCAGAAAACACCTCATAAGGGCAGAGATTTTTTTAAATTCTCATTTGGAGAATTTAAGAAATTAAGTAAAATTAAAGAAACATGAAAATCAACTTGGAAAACAATATACAGCCATACCTCAGAGATATTGTAGGTTTGGTTCCAGACCACCGCAATAAAGCAAATGTTGCAATAAAACGACTCACACGATTTTTTTGGTTTCCCAGTGTGTATAAAAGTTATATTTATACTATACTGTAGTCTATTAAGTACGCAATAGCATTATGTCAAAAAACATGTACATACCTTAATTTAAATATACAAAGCAAATAAACAATTACTATAGTAACATCAAAGATCACTGATCTCGGGCTTCCCTGGTGGCGCAGTGGTTGAGAGTCCGCCTGCTGATGCCGGGGACACGGGTTCGTGCCCCGGTCCGGGAAGATCCCACATGCCGCGGGGCGGCTGGGCCCGTGAGCCATGGCCGCTGAGCCTGCGCGTCCGGAGCCTGTGCTCCGCAACGGGAGAGGCCACAACAGTGAGAGGCCCGCATACCGCAAAAAAAAAAAAAAAAAAAAAGATCACTGATCTCAGATCACCATGACAAATATAATAATAATGAAGAAGTGTGAAATATCGCAAGAATTACCAAAATGTGACACAGAGACACAAAGTGAGCAATCACTGCTGGAAAAATGACACCAATATAGACTTGTTCAAGGTGGGGTTGCCATAAAGCTTCCATTTGTAAAAAACACAGTATTTGCAAAGCACAGTAAATTGAGGTATGCCTATACTCTCTATTAATTTTTGATGCTCTTTAAATATTAGGAAGTTGAAAATGTCAACGTCAATGATAGGCAGCCCAAATAGGAAAGGGGCTTCCTTTACATCCTGTGACATCACCAATAGCCCTGGTGCAAGAGCCCCACCTGCCCGAGGCAGGGGGAGATTGTTAGGAAGAAAGCCTGAGAAGCTTCCTCCCTGCCCCCTCACCTCGCCATCACCTCCATCCTCTACCGCCCCCATCAAAGGGCTTGCCTGACTACTCCCACCACTGCCAACTACAGTGTCCTCATTCTCCACTTTCTCTCTCCCTCTCCCTCTTTTTACTATTTTATCTTTGTCTGTATATTTGCTTAAAATCAGCAAATTTCTATGCCAGGTTCAGGTAACAGAAGGGCTTTCTGAACAGTTTATGTTGTTAGGCCCAAGGTCTGCTGCAAACGCAGTCTGGAGTGAAGTGAAAACATCTTTGTAAAGAGAGGTTAGAAATTCTAATCCAGTGAGTTAAGCTACTACGTCTTTCTCTGGGAACAGGGATGAGTTATATCTGGCCACAAAGCCACCCTTCAAAGGTATAACCAAGAAAAGAGGAAGCAGATCACCAAAAACCAAGATCAGCCGTGGGATATACCATGTTACAGTACAGCGACCACAATTCAAACCACCTGCAGTCAAAGGTAAACTTAAAATATCTTTGTAAGGTACATGCACTGTCCAAAATGAGATTACTGCCAATGGTGACCTAGCAGATATTCTAACCCATGTTGCACTTGAGACACATCAAAAGAGACTTTTTATGAGGATGTGGAGAAATTAGAACCCTCGTGCATTGCTGGTGGGAATGTGAAATGAGGTACCCACTGTGGAAACCGCAGGTGATTCCTCAAAAAATTAAACACAGAATTACCATATGGCCCAACAATTCCACTTCTGGGTTTATACCCCAAAGAAGTAAAAGTAGGACTCAGATATTTGTACACCTATGTTTACAGCAGCATTATTCACAATAACCAAAAGGCAGAGACAGCCCAAGTTGTCAATTGGATACACAAAATGTGTTATGTACACACAATGGAGTATTAATCAGCTTAAGAAGAAAGGAAATTCTGACACATGCTACAACATGCATGAACCTTCAGGACATTATGCTAAGTAAAATAAGCCGGTCACAAAAGGATAAATATTGTATGATTCCACTTATATGAGGTCACTGAAGTAGTCAAATTTATGCTGACAGAAAGCAGAAGGGAGGTTGCCAGAGCCTGGGGGAGGGAGGGAATGGGGAGTTAGTGTTTAATGGGTACAGAGTTTTAGTCTGAGAAGATGAAAAAGTTCTGGAGGTGAATGGTGGTGACAGTTGCACAACAATGCAAATGTACTTAATGCAGACGAACTCTATACTTAAAAACGGCTAAAATGATAAATTTTTAATTTTAATTACTATAATAAAATAATTATTATTATTTACAATAATTTTAAAAAGACTGTTCTTAGGCCACAGAGAGTAGCATTAAGTCCGAGACATGTTGACCCATGTTCAAGTAGATCCATTTCCTCTTCCGGAACTTGGCTAATGTTTCTGGTTATGATATCACAAGTTGTTCACTTTTCCCTGATGGTGTCACCTGGTTCATGATTTTCCATCTTGAGCCTCACGCTCCCCTTCTCTCAGCAGCTGGTCCCTCTGCCACATCCAGCATGCACAGCACCTTCTGCGTAGCTCTCCCAGGCATGGCCATCTTCGGCTGACCTCATCCCTCCAGGTTTTAACCCTACAGGTCTGTCCTGACTTCTCGTTTTACCAGCACTCACGATTATCGTCATCTAAAACTCCTCAAGTGTGCCAACATGGCTCTATACGGAGCAAATAAAAGGCCTATTTCCTCGTCCTGGCAGATAGCATTCTAAGGGTGACAACGAGCTTAAGGGGGTGGAAATTATTTCTCATGTTGTGTTTTTAAAATTCTTAGTGGGAGGAGTCTGGCCCATATAGCTTTAGAAATATAGCCTAGAGATGTTAATTTCTCAAGTTTTTATATCCTCTCTCTCCTCTTTATTTTGTCCCTCCCTGTGCACACAAACAAACAAACAGCACAACTCATCTCCGGTAGAGTATGAATTTTCACTGCCTTCTCTGAAATACTGGAGTCTCTGGAATCTCAGCTTTTTCCCTAAGCAGACTTATCAGAAAGTTCTTTTCAAGTAAGTACTCAATATATTTTGGTAAATGAAAAATACAAATTTACATCCAGTTATAAGTATGTATGTATCATCTTACATTTGTATAGTGTTTTGGAGTTGGCCACGTACTTTAACAAGCATGATCTGATTTGATCTTGCCAAGAATGCTGGGAGGTAGACAGGATTGTCAAGCCTCCATGTTATAAATGAGGAAACTGAGGCCCAGAGAGGTTGTGTGTGGCCCAAAGTTAGAGGTAACCAATCAAGAAAACCAAGATTCATTCCAAGTCTGCTTCTTTTTCTGCTACCCTTTGTTGTCAAAGCAATTAGCCAGACACCATCAGCAGCCACCACTTCGGCTTCCTACTGTGTGTGGGATCTGGAGCTGGCCCTAGAGTACTAAAACTTAGTCCCCGCCCTCAATGGAGAGTTCAGTGAGAAAGGCAGAATTTGGTCAGTAAGAAGTGGCATATGCCAATCACCAAATATACCCTACAGGCAGTAAATGCAACAGGCAAAGTGTCCTACACCTTCTAGCACATGAGCAGGCAGGACCTACATGGTATAGTACTGACACCCTGGCAGGAACTGTGAAAGGAGTTTGGGAAATCCAAGACCCTCTAGAAAAGGATGAGCTCCTACAAGTGGTCTGAACCCCTTGCAAGGCACTGACTGAGTTGGTCTCAGCCAACTGTTTTGTCTGGCATGGCTGTACCTGGGCCTTTTCCACCCTTTTCCATGGTAGACCCCAACAATGACTCATCTCCTTTTTGTGGCAAATCTTGCCACAAGCTCAGGTGTGCTGACAAACCTGGCCTAGAGCAGCAGATGTCCTTCTGTCAATCTGCCCTCCAGGTCATACATCCATCCATAATTTTTCCTCCTCCTCTGGAACCACTCACTGCTCAGTCTCTCCTGGAATATTGGCGCCCTACCTGTCCCTGTAATTTAAGAGAGCAAAATCCTTGGACAAAGTCTAATCAAAGACTACTTCAGCCAACAAGCATTTATTTAGCACCTAAGAGATGCAAAACATTTATGACCTTGAGTTTGAGCAATCAGTAACCATCAGTCACGTTAATAATTAACCAGACATTGATGTCTATGATTTACCCTGCATGTAGGTGGAGTAGGTGGCCAGTGGAAATTGCCAAAGACTCGCCCAAATTCGCTTTCTGTCAGACCACCTAATTGGGAACTTGCAGGGAAATCTGGGAAGCCTGACACACCTAATTGCTACTACTAAAGAGACTCTTGATGATTCTTTCTGGACGCATTAACAGTATTGTGATATTAGGTGAAAGAAGGTCTCAGGGGGACACCGGAAGGGTATATTTTATGGGGGCAGAGAAAATGGAAAGCCTGAAGCATAAAGCATTGGCCAATAACGACTGGCCTAAGACTGCTTGTGGGAATGCAAATTGATACAGCCACTATGGAGAACAGTATGGAGGTTCCTTAAAAAACTACAAATAGAACTACCATATGACCCAGCAATCCCACTACTGGGCATATACCCTGAGAAAACCATAATTCAAAAAGAGTCGTGGGGCTTCCCTGGTGGCGCAGTGGTTGGGAGTCCGCCTGCTGATGCAGGGGACACGGGTTCGCGCCCTGGTCTGGGAGGATCCCGTGTGCTGCGGGGCTGCTGGGCCCGTGAGCCATGGCCGCTGAGCCTGCGCGTCCGGAGCCTGTGCTCCGTGGTGGGATAGGCCACAGCAGTGAGAGGCCGGCGTACCGCAAAAAAAAAAAAAAAAAAAATGCAGTACTATTTACAATAGCCAGGACATGGAAGCAACCTAAGTGTCCATCAACAGATGAATGGATAAAGAAGATGTGGCACATATATACAATGGAATATCACTCAGCCATAAAAAGAAATGAAATTGAGTTATTTGCAGTGAGGTGGATGGACCTAGAGACTGTCATACAGAGTGAAGTAAGTCAGAAAGAGAAAAACAAATACCGTATGCTAATACATATACATGGAATCTAAAAAAAAAAAAAAAAAGGTTCTGAAGAGCCTAGGGGCAGGACAGGAATAAAGACGCAGGCATAGAGAATGGACTTGAGGACACGGGGAGGAGCTAAATAGATAGCTAGTGGGAAGCAGCCGCATAGCACAGGGAGATCAGCTCGGTGCTTTGTGTCCCCCTAGAGGGGTTAGTTAGGGAGGGTAGGAGGGAGACGCAAGAGGGAGGCGATATGGGGATATATGTATACATATAGCTGATTCACTTTGTTATACAGCAGAAACTAACACGCCATTGTAAAGCAATTATATTCCGATAAAGATGTTAAAATAAAAAAGTCTGGCCTAAGGAATAAACAACACTGAGTGGCCTTGGACAACCAAGGTTTAATGAGGACACCAAGAATCAGGGGAAGGACTATCTAAAAGGCACAAGGGGGTAGAAGAAGAGGCACCAGAGAGGGAGTGGCCTCCTCCATGGTTTGGCCCTGGGCCAGCCCTGAGCATAACTAATGGAAGCATGTGGAAAAGGGACACTGCCTCTCAGTGCCTCCCAGCCTAGCCTTTGCCTGGGAGAGAACAGATGGTGCCAAGGCTGAAGTGCTTCAGTGTGCTCTCCCATATTGTGCAGATTCCCAAGACTGGAGAGGCATCTTCTTTGGAGGCTCTCAACCTAATATTTCTCTGAGGCAGCTACTCTGTCAGGAAGACAGCACTGTCAGACTTTGAGATGCCACAGCCCCTTGGAATCTTCTGAGTAGAATGGGATCCTGCTCTAGTTTTCCAATCCATCCAATTCACTAGCCAAATTATTGTGTGTAAAACATCAAGTCTGTGACCAGTCTTCCTTTGGTGGTCTGCCATATTGTTAATGTGCCAAAAAACAGCTGAGATTAAAGCTTAATGGAGCTGAGGGAAATACTCTGTAATGAGCAGTAGGAAGCACCAAGTGTGAAACTATCAGTGGGATTGTTGCTGGGATAAATCACCTTATTAAATGGCATGGGATACTTTGTGGTCCACAGAGTCCAGCCCTCTGTTCTTGATACTCTTATCAAACCCAGGAAAGCATTCAGTGTTTCAACCAGTTCTCCTGAACATTCTACCCTGTGGCTACTGGAAACCAAAGCTGTATCTATAATGGGGATTTTAAGGACTGAATTTTATAGCTGTTCCACACTTAAAGTGTAAACATAGTGTGATATTTTATAACCGGTTAATTTCCCATGACTTTCTATTTTTTGTACTTGTAAATATATGAACCAGTCAACTGGGGACTCATTAATGTTGTAATTTAATATTAGAATTTCAATAATTTTCTTGAAATGTACAAACCATGATTTTCCCTTTTGGCCGTTTTAGTGGGGATGTGTGCTGTGTGAACTTGGTTTAGCTGGAACTACATTTCCCAGAATCCCCTTATGGTTCTGAAATAGAGTTCGCCAAAAGAGGAATTTGTGTAAGGTTTAGAAGGCAGGAGAAAACATGGCCATTATTCTCCAAAGGTGACAGACACAGAGGTGCAGGCAAGTTCCAGATTTTCCTCATCCTCTCCCACTCTGGGTCCAGCTGTTCCCAACTGACAGCGCTACTGACCAACAGCTCCCCAGGCCCCCCTTCATGAAGCTTGGCTGCAGACTTTCAGAAGCAATAGTTATGCAGAAATCACACCTTTCACCAGGTCTCCTTCATGATCCTACTTTGGCAACTGGATGTATCTGGTTTTCCAGATTGATTCCCCTGCAAGTTCCACTCCGTTCACCACACTAACCCTTCAGGGGACAGATTAATGACTTTTCTCTGGTCCTCCAACTCCTCCTTTCAGACCCTCACTTCCCCAGCATCTCCCATCGTTGTATAATGAGTTGCTATGGCCCTAATATACCTAGTAGTTGTGCTTCCCTGATTAAGCCCTGACTTGAGTACCTTGCCTCACCATGTTAGAGTCAGTCAACCAGCCAAAGAGATTTTGCACAGAGTTAAGTGTTGCCTCCACACTCATTCCTGTTCACAGCTAAACTCAATATCCATTAATAATTCTCAGCAGAAGTCAACATGAATTATACAAGGTGACATTCTATGTAAATCCTCTTTCTTATGATGTAAAATGAAGACCTGGCCTTTAAAAGAGCTAAGAAGTTAGTAGTTTTAACTTGTCCTTTGTGGATTCCTAAGATAGTGCTATGTAGGGTGAGCATCAGCTTTCTGCAAATCTTGAGGCCCCAATTTTACCAGCTAGTTCACAACAGTGCACAAAGGAAAAGGAAAAAAAAATTGGAAGCCATGGGTTTTACGCTGTTTAAACGGCAAGGCTCCCATCTTTAGTCTTGAGCTGGGTACAACAACAACATAGTAATCATAAATATTTTTCCACCTTCTGAAAGTATATTACACAAGAGATCTCCCAAGCACTAAGATTTCCTTTATTATTCAGATATTTCACCCTCTTACATACCCCCAAGGGTCTCATTTCAGTCTCTGCCAAAGGCAGCCTCTCCTGATTATCTTGTAAATTCCTCCATGTGCTGCAAACAATTCTTATCTGCCTCATTGCTTTCTCTGCACTTTCTTAGGTGCCCAAGAGACCACCCAAGCTCCCAATCCTTCATCTAGTGTGACTTGAGAATATTCTGCCATGTGATATTGGGACAAGAGGACCTACACACAGCAT